CGTCCGGCGGCGCGAAGAACCGGCTGCCAAAAGCCGTCCCTGCGGCCCCCAAGCCTCTCTCATCGCGCTGACTCGTGAGAAACTCTTCCTCTTGCTCCAAGAGCCGCCACCTTCGCGATTCCCAAAGACTTTCCCACGTATAAGCCCATCTGCCTTCCTGCTACCGACCCTTTATCCATCCAGGAGAGCCCTCCCCTGGCAGGGAAATCAAATTCTATCATTTGCAAAGGCAATTAATTTGAGGCAAGCTGGGAAGGAGGACGTGGGATGCGGACCTGTGTGAATGCAGAATCCCCCTGCCTCTGCTCGCTGGATGGCTTCCGAACGTTCCCGGGAACCAAAGTCGAGAGCCTTGACACACGTGCCGTAGGGAAACCTCAAACAGGGACCCAGCTCGGCCGGGGCTTTGAGGGAACACGGGCGTTAAGGACGGCCACGGGGAGACTTGGTCAAAATACAAGTGGAGGAGGCGCGGGGACTAGGAGGCTCAGGGGGCACAAGGGTCCTTCCAACAGCAGTGGGACGTGGTTGTCGTGGGTCACAGGCCTCCGCGGCCGTCCTGCCGCCGCCCCTCTGCTCCGGGGGCACGCAGGGATCTCGCTCGTGTCGCCGCTGCTCCTCGATGCGCTTTTCAGCGCGAACCTGGGAACCCGCTGCTCTCTCGGAGCGTCCCCCAGCGCCGTTCCCGCAGGCCCCTCGACGTGGCGTGGCCGCGGCCGCAGCCCAGCCTCCGCAGCCTCCCCGGAACCCAGCGCCAGCGACGGAGACGTATTTTGTTCCTATGGCAACCCAAACAATATTACCTTGACTTAAACGGATTCAGGCAATATTAAAACCAGCCTCTTTAGGAATTCCTGGTGTTGGAGGGGCTGAGAATTTTAATTTTGTGTAATGCGAGCTGACACCGTGTTTATGAGCTGCTTGCTGAATGTTTTCTTCAATTAGCACAAAGCAGAGCGGATTTGTTTTCGGGGCTTAGCTGGGAGATGGGAAGGTGCGGGCCTCGCGGTGCCAGAAGCGTTATTGAGTTACGCTGCAGCAACGGCGCTTCCCTCACCTGGTAGCTGCGAAAAAAAAAAAAGCCCTTTTCAGGGAAATCTGGCACACGACAGATAAGCCTTTCGATAAGGCTCGCGAACGGCCCCGTCCCAACGGCGGCGGGAGGAACCGGCCCGGTGCCTCGCAGGGCAACAGTCCCAGCCTCCTCTCCCAGCTCTGACATCTGCTTCCACGTTGCCTTGTCCTGCTCCGGCCCTCGCGCTACCAGCCCGCCTGCGGTGAGAACATCACGCCCAAAGCTTCCCCCAACCTGCCCGGGCCAGGCCACACTCCGGACGTTCTTCCCAAGCAACCAGTGACATCACCAAGGCCAGAAATAGAAAAGGACCCAGGGAACGCCCCAGTTCTCCAGGGATCAAAATAATTAAGGAAACACAAGTGTGAAACGAGACAGGGAGCCTTCCTGTCCCGTTCCTCACTTGGAGGCAGGTCGGGATATTGAAGTAAAGCTCCTGTTTGTCAGGGCTGTGTTCTTGATGTGTCTGCCCCTGGATTTGGGGCTCTGGGGCGGAACCAGCTTGGCCTGGGTGGGTTACAGGAGTAAACGCAGCTCTGAAAGACACGGTGAGACCAGACGGGAGCTCGTCTCAGAGTCCAATCATATTTGCGGCACTAGATTCAGCCCCACGACAGCACAGAGCGAAGCCAGGCAGATCTTTCTCGGGGGACAGCACTTCTCCCAGCCGAGAGGCAAAGAGAAGTCCGCGCTCGCTTTCAGACCGGTTGTTTGAAGGGACAGAAACCTGGAGAGAAGGATAGTTTGGTCACCCACATCGGCGGAACGGCTTGTAAGCGGTTCTCAAGAAGATAAAAGACACGACAAAGCGCAGTTGCTGGGCATGGAATAAAGATTCCAACTGGAAATAAGGGCTGAGGGAGCTAGTTAGCCTCGGGAACCTCTTCCAAAGGGATACGGACAGGTCCTCCTTCACTGGGAGCCTCCGGACGGCGCCTGCCTGGCCTTCGCTGTGCGTCCACCACCAGCGCCCAGGCCTGAGCTGGGAACCCCCGGGCGAGGCTCTCTGGGTTGCGACGAAGCCGGCGTCAGGCCGCGGCACCACTACCTCCCACCAGGGCTTCAAGTCCCGGAACGTTAACGACTTCACCTTTAATACTACGTCCCCTGCTCCCGGCCGGTCCCGTGGTCGCGGACCGGCTCTGTGGTTGGGTCTTTTTTTACTCTTTTTACTATTTCACTTCTGCTGCAACAGAAGGATGTCGGTGTCAGGAAAGGGACAGGGTTGGACTCAGCCCAGATTCGGACTGGGATTGGGCCTAGAACACGCTCCCGGTTTGCTCCTGCGTTAGGACAGTGAGAGGTGGTGGTTAAAAGGCTGCTCTTCGCTCCCAGCTTTTTCAACTCAAAGTCGATTATTATTTTTCAAGTGTGACTTACAGAAAGACAAAGAGGAAAGGGGGAGAGAGAGAGAGAGAGACGGGGAGGGAGAGAGGAACACGCAGGCAAACACACTCACACAAAGGAGAGAGAAATCCCACACCATTCCACTTGGAATGTCCCAGACACTTCAGCCGAAAGCCACCGCACAGCACAAATCCACGGTGGTATTTGGAAGGGATGAGCCCACCCCTGTAAGCCTCTTCATCCTGCTCCACAGAGTTTGCCAGGAGGATTAACCCAGTCTTGTTCTCAATCCCAGTTTATGAGTTCCCTGCTGGTGGGGAAGATCCTGTGTGTTTAAACAACAGCCTAATTAATCCCTATTTTATTACTTTCTCTTGTCAAGTGGCTAAATAGAAGCTGTCAGCCGGCAGCCACCACCGCTCACATTTGTTTAGATCCCAAATTACTTCATCAGAACCATCTGCTCCGTACGTGGGGCGCTCAGCAGTTGTTTGTTTCTCTCTCTGGACACGGTGTGGGGCACAAACAGCCTCCCCCCATGGGACTCCCTGCGTGAGGCTCCTCCAGGCCCTGGGGACGGTCCTGGGGCGGGGGGGTCCATAAGGTCCTCTCACTAGGAGCAACCTACCAAAGCCAGGCAGTGGACAGCCCTAGAGAGGAAGAAGGGACACGGAGCTCTGTCCCGCTGGGCCAGGCAAGTTCACGTTCCTCCCTGGTACTACGGAGGGTCAGAAAGGCCCAAGGCCCAGCGGGGATGGACGCTTCTTGGCTGGGATGTGCCAGCACAGCTCCAAACACCCACCCCCTTCTCCCCTTGAGCCCCCACCCAGGGCTGACCTTCCCTGCCCGAGTGTCTAACCGCCGGGACCTTCTCTGCAGGCTGTTCCAGACCAAGTGCAGCAGCTGCTTGAAGGCGATCGCCCCCTCCGAGCTCATCATGCGGGTGCTGGAGAACGTCTACCACGTTCACTGCTTCTACTGCTGCGAGTGCGAGCGGCGCCTGCAGCGGGGAGACGAGTTTGTGCTCAAAGAGGGGCAGCTGCTGTGCCGCAGCGACTACGAGAAGGAGAAGGAGATGCTGAGCGCTATCAGCCCGGCGCCCACGGAGTCCGGTGAGGGGCTGGGGAGGTGCTGAGGGTCGGGGACCCGCGGGAGCCTTGTAGAGGGCAGGGACCGCCGGGTCCCTCACTCACGACAGGGAAGGCTTCAGAGGGAGGAGGTGTAGGGAGGAGGAGGCTGTAGCACCTTTTCCCCTCGGAAATAGGCAGCCAAGGGAGTACCAGGCTGCCGAGACCTACTCGGGCTTTGGCCTGAGCCGTTACACGACACGGGGCCAGCCGGGCCCGTCAGCCCCGTCCCCCCGAGCCACAGCTCAGTCCGCGAGTTTTCCTGGCTGCGTTCTGCGCTTCTCCTCGAAACCGCACCCCGGAAGGAGCAGAACTCGCGACGAGTTTCCCCGAACGCCGGGAGGCGGCCCGGAAAGGCCGCTCTCCGCTCAATCACCGCTCCTGCTCTTGGGTTGCAGTGAAAAGCGAGGACGAAGACGGCAGCCACTCGCACGGCAAAGGCAGCGAGGAGAGCAAAGACCACAAGCGCTCCAAGCGCCCGCGCACCATCCTGACCACCCAGCAGCGGCGGGCGTTCAAGGCTTCCTTCGAGGTTTCCTCAAAACCTTGCAGAAAGGTATCGGGAGGCCCCTCGGCACCGCTGCTGGCTCGGATCCTCCTCAGGGCAACCGGAGTTCTGATTCAGCTCTCTGGGTTTTGTGGACAGGTGAGAGAGACGCTGGCCGCCGAGACGGGCTTGACGGTGCGGGTGGTGCAGGTCTGGTTCCAGAACCAAAGGGCCAAGGTGAGTGATGCTTCCCGTGCCGCAGCCGGGTCCTGCGCCCCTGCGGCTTCAGGTAAAAGGGAACGTAGAACAGCTTAGAAAAGAGAAAACGCTCAGGAGAGCAGAACAGCGACGCAGGGCCAGACCGCAGCTCCGCCCGGTCCTACAACACGTACCTAGCGGCAGCCAAAGCTTAAAGAAAGGCAAAAATCGACTAATTTGCAGGTGGTTGCGGGGCTTCACATTTCACACACTGGCTTTTTGATTGTTCCTTCTCTACTTGCTTTCCCCCCCCCTCGCTATAGAAAGACCAGAAGGATCTCCCACTTCTAGAAGTCGAAACATCTCTACATTTGCAGAATTTAAAGGGTGAAAACAGAAAGGAGGTGGCTTTGAAAACCTCGCTTTGTAGTGAAACCTTTAACCTGCAAATGGCATCTCCCCCAAAGATAACAAAGCCTCTTGTGTCAGCCCCGTTTCTGACGCAGGGACGACCGCGCAGGAGTCACCCAGAGGAGCCCGAGCGGGTCCTGCCACGGCAGCGCTCGCTCTCTC